AACAATTTTAATTTGAAGATTTTTGCTTTAATAAATTTTCTTTCATATGATTTTCATCATTTATTAATGATATGAATAATATAGGATATTCAATAAATATTCTTTCATGAAATAAATCAATTATTGTATTAAATGAACGTTTTTCATATTTTCCAAATTGTTTTCGTTTTTAACCAAAATTTTCAATATAAATACAAATTTGTTGTTCATGAGAAAAATTTTTTAATTTTAAAAGAATTAATTCATCATTTATATTTGATGTTTCATTTAGATAGTTATGAAATTTTTTTTAAATATTTGATAATGTTATTTCATTTGTTGGTAAATTAGTTATTCTCCATGTATAAAATGTATTAATAAAAAATTGACATTTAATATGCCAAAAAATATCATTTGTTTTTTTATCAAATCACATTTGATTTTGTTTATGTTTTGTTGAAAATTTTGGTAAATAAAGAATTTGTATAGATCCTAATAATTTTAATTTATTTTGTATTAATTTTTGAAAATATTTTTTGATTCATTAAATGATTTCTTTTTATTTTCAAGTTCATTTTCGTTTACTTATTTCAATTTGACGATTAATTTCTTCTAAAAATCGATAATCTGATAAAAGATCACGATCATTCATTTTATTTAATGATTTAAATGATGTTTTATCTCATTGTCCATTACAATTTAATGTCTTTTTATGTTTAAGACAACATGATCAAGAACATGTACATATTGAACATTGTGAAGATGTATATTTTATTGGATTTTGGTAACATATAGAACATTTTTTTGGATCTTTAGAAGAGTCCATTTAGAAATAAAATCAAATCTTTCAATATTTTAATGATATTTCTTTTGAATAATATTCTATTACTAGAGTTTAAGCCGATGTATTAACCAGCGGTGGCGGCGGCTCAGCCGAACGGTTTACACCTCTATCTAATACAACTTTTTGTCATTTATTTATTTATTTTTTGACTGTATGGTTTAATTCTGGCATAGGCATTTCTTTTCATAATTGAAAGAATGTACAAAATTGCCCGAAATTGAATAGTTTAAGATATTTATATATCTGAACCACTCGTTGACTAATGGTCATCGATGATGAAAGAGAAAAAAGATTTTCTTTGATCCTACTGTTGTGTAATTGATAGATGTGAGATTTCACAAGTTAATCTGCTGAAAATATCATTCCCATATCTCAATGCTACTGGAAGAACATTCTAGATGTATTTCTTATATCAGCAGGTCCTTATGTGAAATCTTACATTCATAAATTATACTACAGTGGATCAAGACAACTGTTCCTCTTACATCGAAAGAAATACTTGTGCAAGAATTGTACTATACAATCAAAAAACGAAAAGAAATTTGGCAAAAAGTTGTATTAGAACATTATTCTGTTCATTTGAAGTATGTCTTATAAATAGTAAGTCTAAACGAATAAATATTTAAAAAAATATTATTGAAACACTAAAAGATCCATTTTTTCTTGGAACACTCGATACAAATTAATATAAATCAATTTTCATAGAGACTTTAACTTTGTATCAATTGAAAAGGTTTCAAATTGACATTTTTAATGTGATCTGCATGTTAAAGTATAGTTTATGGAAAATCTAAAATAAAAAATAAAACAAACAAATGATTCAACTAGGATTTACTAACAAGCATTACTAATAGTTTATATAAGAGAATTATTATAAAGAATGGTTACTCTTGTTTTACTGTTTTTCAAAGAAAAAAAAATCAAAGTTTTTTTTTTGTGTGCATAAAACAAATTGATGAAATTTATTAGATCTATCGAATCTAATCTTAGATTCGATCACAAATCGAAAGAGGCATATTTGTTGACAGTCACAACAATTCGACTCTATTTCGTATTTTAATCCTATAAGAAGTCCATTTACCGTTTTTCCTAACTTCAGTGGTTTTTTGGACATGAAGCTTTTTATTATTGTTTTCTTACAGGATAATATCTATATGGTACCTTCAAATACATCTTAATAAAAACCGAATTTGAAAAGAGAAAGAGATGAATGTACATGTGTACTGGAATCTAGTTGTTTCCAGTTAAATTTACGATCATATCTTTGCCTATTTAGTGATTTTTTCCAAAAAGTTTAATAAATTTAATATGTGAACTTATAAAAATCGTCTTTAGACATATTTAACAAATTAAGTATATTCTCGATTATTTGTTTTCCTGTTATCACAATTACCTTTCAATTTTATACCTCTGCACTTTCTTTATCTCATCATGAGTCATGAAAATAAGATACATCAAGTTTACTCACAAGTACCGGTAATAAATACTTGTCTTATCAAGTTTGTCACATATTTAGTTTTCTTGTCAATTGAAAAAAAAAACAAAAGGATCCTTTTTTTCTTTGTCGTTCGATCTTTATTTTTCTTCATTAATACAAATATTTAGAAGAGTATCGATGTTTGTTTCAATCATATGGTCACAAAAAAAATATCTCGATTGATGAACGAATAATTGTTTTCATTCGATGATTAACTCAGAACATTCTTTACTAAAAATTAAATATAACATACTAAAAGAACAGTTAAAATTGATAAGAAAACTACTGATTGATCCCCATCATTGGAATTTAGAAGAAAATTTTTTTCGGATATATATACAATTCATAAGAAAATATGTGTTTATTGTTCGAATGAATAACATAATATTGATACAAAAGAAAGACACATATTCATGTAAGTACTATAAAAACTTATGAATCTATTTAAAAAATTTCTTTTATATTCACAACTTGACTATTATACATTTCCACATGCATTTAGAGAAGATTAGTTATAAATAAATATTGTTATATAAAACAAAACAAATTTACTATGTCAGTAGAGAATCTAAAAATATAAATTAATGAATTCATCAATAGAAAAGAGAATTGTTAAGATGAGTTTACAAGATTTAATGAGATATCTATTATCATAATTTATGAATAAAAATCTGATTATAATTCGATTTTATTGTTTATATATATTAAGATAAAGAACGCAATAAGAGTTTATAGAGTTTAAATTGTTACTATGAATTCTTATTTCTACATGATTGATTTATTTTAGAAGTAAAACCTTGACATAATAATATTTGTAAAGGTGAATGTCGCTTTTATCTAAAAGAAACATTGTAATTTTATATGATAAAAATAAATAAATTATTTTATTTGTTATTTATTTTTGATTTAATTAACACCAATAAAATATAAAATTAATTCAACATCTTTTTTTTTCTTTTTTTTTTTTTATATTTAAAATTTAATTTGATACTTAAATATATCCAATCATGATATAAGATCAACAATAGATGTCGCTAGTTTCTTGTGTGTAAACGCCCATGAAATATAAAATTCGATCAATCGATTGAATTATATCGTCCTCTTTTCTTACATCCTCTATACTATCTAATAGAATTGTACTACACCGAAAACAAAGAACATATTGTTTCCATCATATCATATATATATATATATATAATATAACGTATTATTCAAAAAAGAAAAATTTATTCTCGTTACGTCTCTTTCAATAATTAAATTAACATAAAAAAATATATTAAATTTTTTGGGTATGTTGAATAAATTTCATAATTGAACTTTCTTTTGTTTATTTGTCTTTTCTTCTTAACATTTCTTTATGTTATTTATTTTTTCTTTTTCTTGACACGATTAAAAATTCTTAATAATTTCTTTGAGAAAAATTTCAAGAGACATTTTCTAAAAAAGATTAATCGAAATAAAAATAAAACATGATGTATTAATTATTTCAATTAAGTTGAAGAAAAAAATTTCATATCAAATAGAATAAACAATTAATGATTATTTCATCGATTATTTATATTTAAGTTTTCAATTTTTCATTGAAAAACTTTAGATAAATAATTCTTAGCATTTCTATATGAAAATTTCTCATCAGTAATAAATTACATTTAGATAATAAAGCTAATCTATGACTATTTAACTTAAAAATAAATCTTGTTTAAAAAAATGAACATAATTTAAATAAATAAGAAAAAGAATTCATTTTTAATAGTTGAAATGTCAAGATTATTGTTCAATCTGATCTCTATATCGTCAATAATTGATTATAACTAATTGATGACATAGTTAACATTCATTCAATTTTTCTTCTCTCAACTTAATTAGATTATCAATGATAACAAAATTTTATAAGATTTTACTCGTCAATATAAAATATAGATACAAAAAAAAATTGTTTAGATTTAAAAGAATATTTCTTTATCAAAAATTAATTCTTGGTTAATAACAAATAAACTTAACATATATTTACAAGCTAACAAATTGAAATTTTACAATTTATACTCTAGATATTAAACAATCAATCTAGCATTATATCTAAATGGTAGATATTGAAAAAAAAAACCCTTTAAAAGATTTGGAAAATCGAGTTGATTTTAGTAAAAATACTTTATTTATAAAAAAATCTTTTCAAAAAATTTTTTCATCTGAAATAATAGAAAATAGATAAATATCTATCCAAAAAAAGAGAAGACAGTTAATTGTAAATGATTCTTTTATTTTTTTATTTTTTATTATAACAATAAAACTAAATAAAACAAAAACATTGATGATTGAAGATTCTCATCAGAAGTCATTCTCAACAATTAATTTAATTATAAAATTATTTTCATATTAATATTATCCTACATAAAACATATCGTGACGAATTAGAAAGTTTCAAAGAAATTTTTTTGATGATGCGAATAAGTTGTTTCGAAATTTAATGTCTTTTTATTTTCATAGTTTATGAATAGAAAGTTGTTTATGTAAATTTCACGTACGATTTCATTACTATCATATTGAGATTTTTTTCATGTTTTTCTAGGTTCTTAACAAGTGAAACACTGATATTCATGGAGAGTAGTAATCCAAATGAAGATGATTCCAACAAAGACAATACGAACATACAATTAAAACTTGCAAAAATCAAATTACAACAAACAGACAAAGATATACTATTAAAACAAACACAAATACAACTTGAAGAAATACGAAATAAACGAATAGAAAATCAAATACGATTACGAGAAATTGATGCTTCACAATTCAAACGACCACAAGTTGTACAAGGTAGAAGACAATCCAGAAAAAGATCACGATATCTTAGAACAGAATGGCCAACAACGAGAAGAAAAACAGACAATAAAGGATTTTCATCATCGACTAATCAAAGTACAACTTCGATAAACAGTCAATCTACAGCTACAAGTTCGACAAGCAGTCAATTTACATCTACAATTTCGACACGAAATAAATCTACAGCTACAACTGCTCAGTCAATGCTTTCGTCAAGTGAACACAAACAAGGTGGTATTAAAGATAATAATGGTAAATTTTATTGGCAGGAAATGGCTGGAAATTTGGATAAATTCGACATTCAGTCATTATTAAATCGTAGTGATTGTTCATTAAATGATGATTATTATAATGATAATATTGAAGAATGTATTAAAATTTATTTAGAAGATATTACAAAATGTATTAAAAATCATTATGGAAATTTTGTATTATTTCATGAAATATCAGAAAAAATATTACAAATAGGATTTGATAATTTAATGTCTACGTTATTGACAAAATTCAACAATTTCACATCATTGAAATATTTAAATACATGTAATAAACATTTTTTAGATGGTGATAGTCCTGATTGCAGTTTTGTATACAAAAATGTTTCAATTCATGATGACAGTATTAAAAAAGTCTTACTTAATTTTCTTGTTTGTTTTGGTGAATTAAAAGTACCAAAAAAGGGTGATATTAAAGAAAAAATAATTGGACAAATAGGAAGATATTTAGAGAATCTAAATTTTATGCAAGGTTCGACAAGATGTTATGCTTTTTTATATGATTTTTATACAATAACATTTTTTTATTGTGATAAAATATCGGATAAAGACGATTTGATATATTATCAAAGTGAAAGATTACAATTGATTGAATTTGAAGATGAAAAACGATCAAATTTCGATGCAATAAAAATCGGTGAAATATCAAAAGAAATTTATTTTAATAAACAAAATTGGAAAATATTTATTAAATTTTTAACTATGAAATGGCAATTTTACGAATATAATGTTTTAAATATACGTCCAGATGATGATTTACTTGGTCAAGATTATGAAATAACAGAAAGATTAGGTAGCGGTGCAACTTCAATTGTTTATTTGTTAAAAGTGCAAGAAGAAAAAAAGGAAAATAAAAATTTATTATTAGATTATGTAATGAAAATTTCACGAAAAACAACATATTCAACTAATTTTAAACATGAAATGAAAATAATAAAGGAATTGGAAAAAATACAAACTGTTGACTCACCTCATGTTCCATATATTGCACAGAAATTCAGTAGAGGTAAGATTTGTTTAACAATATAACATTTGAATTTTTTTAATTCATTAAAACAATTTATTCAAAAAGAAAAAAGAATATTTTTTTTTTGTTTTTTAAATCATTTAAGAAAAAAAAAGTTAAGATAAAAGAATATTTTATAAAATATTAGAATAATAGAAATTTTCCTTTTTCTATTGAATTTTATCTTAATAATGAAATTTCGAGAAAAATTTCATTTAATTATAAATAATCAATGAAAAGAAGATTTGTTTATCGTTATGAATTTTTCTATATTAAAATAAAAAAAAATTCTTCGATATAGATAATAAACGATATGAATTAAATTAACATTATATCGAAAGTCGAATGAAATTGAAAATAAAATATGAATTTCGTTTTTTTTTTTTTTTGTCAAAATTTATAATTAATTAATGTAGAAACATTGAAAATTGTTTAACCCATTCGCGGTGAGGTTTTTCTTTTTTGATGAGAAATATGTGTTCATATGTAATAGAAAAATAGTTTTTATCACTGTATATGAAAAGCTCATGTTAGCTCTACAATGTGTATGGGGACTATATGATAGAGCAGATCATTATAACATATATATATAAATCTTTAGCTTACATACATTGATCGTAATGTAACTATTGATGTATATATGAAAAAAGATGTTGATGAAATAATAATGAAAATGTATTTCTTGAATAAAATATAACAAGAACGTTGATGTTAAATAAAAAAAAACCAGAACGAGAGTGGAAAAACAAAACAATATATACGTATATGTAATAGTCAATCACGTGAGTCTAAGCTGTATTGGTCATCCAACAAATGACGCAATACCATATAACTAATAATAATATAATGGTTTAGCTTCAGTGAGTGACATGCTTAGGGGTACCCAAAAGTAGTGGCGGTCGCATCTCAATTTCGTATAGAAGGCTTGATAAAATTTTCTGTTTTTATGAGGTGATAGAGAAAACGAAGCTCTATTTTTCTGTGATATTTCATCCCTATTCAGCTGGTATCATAATAATGAAATTTCGATAAGAACTGTTTTAGTGTAAAACTTCACTAACGGGTGAAACAGATTAAATGTTTCAATCACATAATACGTTGTATTAAGAAACAAAATACATGACAATATGTAGCGTGAAAAGTTCTACAATTTACATAAGACAGCTTATTTTATAGTTGTAATTTTTGTTTTCAAAATGAACAAAAATTTGAGCGACCAATTTGCGACCGTGCGAAAACGATATTTTTTGGTACAAGATGAATTCATTTTTTTGTTTCATCTTTTTGTCATCTGATATCTTTTATTTAAAACAAACAAAATACGTCACAAGATGCAGCGTGAAAAGCTCTACAATCTACAAAGTAAAGCTTATTTTAATTGTCTACTTCCTGTCAAAAAGAAACAAAATTCTATGCGACCAGTTTTCGCTGCTTCGAAACAATCATGTCAAGAGAAATTCTTTTTTTCTTATTTCATATATAAAATAAAATGTTCTTTACAAATTGTAGAGCTTTTCACGCCGCATCTTGTGATGTATTTTTAGAGCTTCGTTTTCTCTATCACCTCATAAAAACAGAAAATTTCATCAAGACTTCTATACGAAATTGAGATGCGGCCGCCACTACTTTTGGGTACCCCTAAGTATAATGAGACTAACAGCTCGTGTGTCTGGAAGAAAAAGCAGCTTTTTCAATCGCTGAAAATTCTGTGAGCCAATGATCTCTTGTCTTTATAATATAATTTTTATTAGAAGTGTTTCAATGTGTGATTAAGCTTGAAAACATGGTAGTAGGCATAAGCCAATATTGAAAATATAGATAGAATATACATGTATGATAGTGCTATACTATAATACTGACAGATGTCAGAAAAGGATAGATAGTGCACAAGTACAAATTCTACAAATTTAACAAGTTACTTCTTTCAATTTTTTCCGACAGATGAAACAGAGCGTTCAAAATTTTGCTGTAGATATACGTATTTATTGTAAAATTATCATTCCCATCAGACTTGCTATGCTTATGATAGTCAGAAACTCCTTTAGATACTGGTATGAAATTGTACTTGCAAGACATATTCATACGGAGTATATACTGAAAAATCTTATCGTCCCATATATGGGACATCCGTCACGAATTAGTTAAATATCTTTTATTGTTTATCTAAATAAATAGAATATTTTAATTTTGAAGAAATTTAATTTTAGAAACATGAGGAGAAATATGTTAATTTTGTTTTAGATAATTTAAGAGTGAATGTGATTGAATTATGAAATAAGACGAAGAAAAATAATCTATAAAATATTTATGAAAAAATACAAAATTTCTAATAAAAGAAAAAGATTCTTGTTTTTCTTTTTTATGAATTTGAAAATTTTAAACAAACTTGAAGAGTTTTTTGATTTTTTATTTGAAAAATCTTAAAGCTGGAAATAAAAGTTCTATAAAATAAAACTTTTTTGAAAATTATTTAAATTCCATAAAATAAATCTGAAATCTATTTGATTAGAAGAACGATGATGAAATAGAATTTTTGTTTTCTTTATTTATTCAAATAATTGAATATATTCGAAATTTGATTAAAAATATTCAAAAATCTATTTGTTTTTTTGTTTGTCTTTTTAACAAAAAATTTCTCGAAACATAAAGAATAAATTGAATTTAAAATTTGAAAGAAAAGCAATCACAAATATAAATTAATTATTATTAGTTGAAGTTTTTTTTTCAATAATATCTCGATGTTATTTTAATAAAAGAAAACGTTTCTTTTTTTTTACCTTTTTATAAATTGAATCTTTTCTATTTCTCAGTTTATTTTATAAAGTTTTCTTTTTTCTCTTTCAAATATTCTTTATTTTTGAAAAATGATTAAATATAAGATTATGATGAGTTCGGAAACATCTTGTTTTATTACAGAAAATAATATTCTTTTTGTTTTTTTTTTCTTTAGAAAATATAATAAGAATTTGTTTATCTATTTTCTAAGTCATTTGAATTTTCTTTATATAAAATGTCTTGAATGAAATATTCAATTTAAAATCCTATTTGTAAGATTAATTTTTTTTGTAAATTGAATATTGAAATTGAATTATTTTTTTATAAAAGTATTTATTTATTTGGATAAGAGAAAAAAAAATATTTGTTTATTTATTTCTTATTCGAAAGAATCAATAGGAATCGACCCTTCCAAATCGTTTCTTTATGAAATTTGAATGAAAAGAATTTTTTTATTTGAGAATCATTAAAAAGAAAAAAAAGTTTTTTATTTTGTTGCTTTATTATCTGTTTACTTTTTTTATTTAGAAAGATTTTTGATATTTACGGAAGAATTGGAATCTGTTAAAACATTAACAGAAGCTCAATCAATACAACTTGTTGATATCGTTAAATTTTTATATGAAAATAATATAATTCATCGTGATATTCGTCCACCAAATGTGATGATTACGAATGATATAAAGATTAAGATTAATAAGTTAAGATTAATTGATTTTGGTTTTGCCTACAAATTCAAGAAGAATGAAAAGACAAAATGGTTACCAATAGAAGGTGCAACAACATTTGCTGGTATCGATTTCATAAAAAAATATTACGACAATTTGAGACGGAATTCGGCTGGACATTTATATTATGATTATGAACGAAATTTCGACTTATATTGTGTAATTAATGTTATTATCTATAGGATAAACGAAGAGATTAGAAATAAGATGATAATTTGTCAGGAAGTGGAATGCAAGACGATGGAAGTATGTAATTCATTAGATTTATGGAAACGTATGAGAGAAGAGAATAAAACTTATAATGAATTATTGAAATCAATAGGAAATTTATCCCAACCACCAGATTTTGACAATATTAGATCAATTTTGGGAAAGAATTATATGAATCTCAAAACTATTTCGAACTCAAATTATGTTAAATAAAAGAAGAAAAAAAAAAACAGATTTATGGAAATAAATTAGATTAACTTTTTTTTGTTATTTTTCTTGTATTTGTTATTTCTTTTTTTTTTGGTTCATATTGAAATGGATTTGATGAAAACTCGAAATAATTCGGTTAATAAAGAAAAAAACTATATTATTATTTAACAGGTCTTTTTCATCTTCTTGTTTTTAGTTAAGAATATTCAATTATTGTTTTATATAGATAAAAATTATATTTGATTTGAAGAGTAATATTTGTTATTTATTAAATCATTGGTTATTGAAATATAGAAAAAAAATAAAAAATAAATGACATATTTGTTGATTATATGATAATGATTTCATCAATGACAATAAGAGATTTTCAACAACAAGAAATAAATTAATTCCAAATTCAAAATAAGAATTTTTAATAAATTTTATTTTCTATTTTTATCAAAGGTTTTTTTTAGTTTAAAAAACAAAGAAACATAAAAAAAAACAAAAACTCGTTAAAATATTAGAGTTTATATCTTAAAACATTAACATTAGTTTTTACTTTATATTAAATTATTAAAATTTATTGAAAACATCAAATATAATCAATGCGATTATCTTATTAAAGAATTAGAAAGAAAAATATTGAAAACATTTCTTGTTGTTATTTTTTATTCATATTTGAATATATACAAAAAAAAAATAAATATAAATTAAAATATCTAAATAAATAAAGAATATAATCCTATTAATTATTTATTGAATACTATTGAGAAATATCAACAATAGATATAGATATAGATTTTCTATAGTTATATTTATAATTAATAATCATATTTATCAGTAGAAATATTTTTTGATTATTCACTATTTTATATTCAATTTAGGAGTTTTTAATAATTATGAAAATAGTTTAATCGTTTTATCATAATGAATAAGTCAATGTTATTTTAGAGCTTTTTGTATTCATCATTTATATATTATTGAAAAAAGAAATCAGAAAATAATTATCTAATTATTATTACTAAATTGAATTTAATATTATTTAAATATTTTTTTTTCTTTGTTAAATAAATTATTTAAAAAGAATTTTATTTATAAAATAAACCAAATCGGAATAAAAATTGCATTTATTTGTTTATTTATGATTTATTTCAATAATATATAAATAATTCATTCATTTCAATAAATATTTATTTAAATCATTATAATTGAATTGAAGTTCCTAATCGAAAAAAAAAAACAAAAGAATTATAATTTAGAAAAAAAATACTTAAAAGAATTTTCTTTGAAATATTTTGTTTAATATTATTTAGTTTAATTGTTATTGTCGAATTATTTCTAATAATAAAAAGAGAATTATTTTAAAAGAAAGAACCAATATTCGAATAACATGTGTAACTTGTCAAAAATTTCAATAGATTTCAAAATTTATTCATTTCCCTTCGACAACAACAACAACAGGAAACAATATTAACAATCATTGATGGATGAATTCGTTAATGTGATCGTTGAGCAGAGATGTTGACAGGACCATGTACAATATACGTTGGATCTTGCTCGTTTTCTGAAACATACATGAGTAGACTAACATAAAATGAAAGGATTCGACCATATTAAATCTATATCCTTCAAGATGAAGAACAAGTTTCTTTTTTTCTTTTAGTTTAAAAATGTTATGTCAACTGCTTATCTGTTTCTTCTATAGATCAATATCAAAATGAATATGATAATTTTGAAAACAATTTATAAAGTAATCGTAGAAATATATTTTACGAGAGGGTTCATGAGAGCATCGAATATACGAGGTACTCGATAAAATTTTTTTTTCGATTTTTTTTGCTCATTCAAAACTTCAATATCTAAAACTACTAACCCTAAAATTTTAGGTTCTAATACCCTTCCTATGAAAAGTTAGCCAAGATCAACTTTTGGCACTATCGGGTCTTTTTGTGGTAAAATAAGAAAAAATATTCTATAAAATATGTGTTAACTCACGTTTCAGTAAATCATTGAAATGTTTTGTGGTAATACATAGGACGATAGAGAATTGAAAACTGAATAAAATGAGCTAGATTTATATAATATAATGGCTAACAATTTAAGTTTTATAGAGCGAATATGAGTCAAGGGGTATAGTCCTTTTGATCAATGTAAATAAACAGTATAACTCATGCTGTGTTTCAGAATACAGAGACCCCCAGACTGAATTTTATATATGTTATGCAGTTCTTTTATTCTCTACAAAATGATAAAAAAATATTTGAAAAACGAAAATATGTTCGATGCGAAAAAGAGTTTATACTGCTTAATTTTTTATGATTTTTGATGGTTTTTCGATAAAAAAACCGATATTTTTAGAATTTTTTTTTTTGTCATAGAATAATGCTAAAGCAAAACAAATGTGATATTCTGAATCAGCGTTAAAAACAGTATCCAACCATATATGCAATTGATGTAACGACTGATAATAAAGATATTCGAAACGCATTTATTGAAATAATCAATGGGACAGTTGATTCAAAAAAAGAACGTATTGCTTTATTATATCATTTTATAGATTCAAATATTATTTACTTTTAACAGTTTTACAATTATTAATTTGTTACTACGTTTTTGACATGTCAAACCGAAAGCAAAACTCGAAGAGGTTCTTGCTTTTCAAAATAGTAATTCATTCTTACAAATCTAATTGATTATTTAAATCACTTTTTTTTTAGTCTTCATAAATAATTATTATGCTAATATAACAAAGGATTTAAATTGTATAAAAAAGAAAAACACAATCCAAATAGTACAGATGTTTGATGAGAAACGTTGGAATATGAAAATAAATTCTATTATGTAAGAAAAAATAAATTTTATAATATTGAATATTCATTGATGTTTTATTTGCTAATCTTTGCAGGTGTGATTTCCAATGAAAATTATTTCAGTATGATTTTCTTTTTCAATGATAAAATCTCTCAAGCTATTATTTCATTTCTTACTCGGTATATGTTTGTAATTTTTGAACGTTTATAACTTCGTTTTAATAATTACTAGTAATGTTCATCATATGTTTTTATTTATTTGATAAGTGTAGAATATACGTAAGGAATGTTTTACAAATTCTGAAACAAAATTTGAAAATTCATCTTTCGTCTATTCAAAGAAGTACCTCTGAATTTTGTCAGACATATTTTTACTGATCGAATTCAACATGAAATATATTTGGGATTCGAAATTACGAGAGCGAGAATACAATAACATCCGACAATCGAAAAAAAAAAATTGACGATTTATTTATGTTGAAGAAGGATAGATAATGATAAGCACGATTCAAATGAGTAATTGATCAATTAATTAAAAGATTTTTCTTTTATTTCGAGATTTTTATTTCTAAAGATTTGTTTCAGTGTTTTCTACGAAGTATCGGAAAAACCAGAATTGTTCCAAGGCATATAAGACCTGAAAAAATTCAATTTCGAGCATCTCTACCTTGAAAAAAAAAGATCTATGTTTTTTAGGTGCCAATCTTATTTATTAGTTCTATGAATGTTTCTTAGAAGTAGTTCTTTATTAATAAAATTTGCAAAAAGAAAACAAAAAAAACCGTAATTTTCTTCCACACAGTATCTTCGATTGGGCTCAAATTTTTATTAATGAGTACTTTGATTGAATCGAGATGCGTATTTTTTTCTTCTCTTCAAAATGTTGTTCCTACAAAATTTTTCGTTAGATCGTTCCCGAAAAAATTTGAAAAGATGAGAAGAGATGGTCGTCCTTAACTTATTAGGAAATCCATAACAATAGTGGATGATAGTATTGCTATAGTTTCTAGTTTGCTTTTGTTTAGTAGAATAACGATGAATTTTAACATCATTTTAGAACTTGTGGAGCATTCCTTCAATACATATATTTTACCTTTCAATTCATCAGTTCTTTTTTCATTCCTTCCCTAATAATAAAAAATAATAGAAGTAGAATATTCTTCTTTATATTTATTTTTGTATGTAAATTACATAGTATCATTGATATCTATATATCAATAATCTCAGTTGTTGCTTCATTTATTTCTAGTCAATAATTTATTTTAATACCTTGACGAACTATCACAATACTTATGTTATCGTCTTATAGCTTGCATACAAAAATTCTTTGCATAATATATCTGTTCGATTTTTGTCTACTAATAGATTGCAAGAGAAAATCAAATATAGTCAACTAAGTAGAATGAGAATTTTATGCTCTTTCTAAATATATATTCAAGACTTAAAATTCATCCCATGAAAGCAAATCTTTAGTGGGAACTAAAAACGATCTCTGTACAAAACACAAGTTTCAAAGATCTCGGTAACTATGTTTACTCATTTTTCGGACATGTAAATATAATCGATGAGAATCAAAATGATTTGTTTAGAACTAAAATTCAATTCTTATTCTAAATATATCTTTAGAATTTTACTCTGACTTACGACTAGTTAGCTGTAAGCAAATACCTGAATAAATAAAATAATCTCTATTGTATCATGCCAAATAGGCTTTTTTCTATCATGTGCAATTTCTCGAAAGAGTATATGGAAATAATTTTTACTTTCTTTTTTTTTCGGAGAATTTAATCTTCTAAAAAAAACAATCATAAGTTGCAATAAGCTAGAGCTCAATAGTCAAAAGCTACAAATAGTTTTTGAAATATCACTTTTTAGATGAGGTGACATTTTTTTTTCCAAAATAACTGTCTTTTGCCAATTTCAATATTAAAAACATTTCACGCGCAGGTTATATATCGTAATCCACAAGTATTAATCTATTAGACAAAAATTTCGATAGTATAGGTGTTTCAATGCTTTTCATATTCGAAAATTTATCAATCTTCTTTCTTATTGATAATATATGATATTTATATGAATAACATATATTGGATATTTCAATAGAATAAATACTTTATATACAACATCTGTGATTGTTGTTGCTCGATTGCTTCGTACACTGTTGCAAACAAACAGATTAATAATATTTAATGAATTAGTAAATGTTGAATATTTATGGTATCTTTTGCGTTATATTTATTTAGTTTGTGAAAAAACAAATGCTACGTGTTAAACTTTTATTTTTATATCCATCACCAGAAACATTAATGGGATTTCATTTTTCCTATAGAAGAGAAACATTTCATTGTAAAAAGAAACATATTAGATGTAATAGAACCATATTATTTTTTAATCATCCATTCGAAATATTGATGTTGAACTACACTGTAGAGCTTTGCATATCCCAGGTGATTCGATCCGACTGTCGGATTACGTCGGATTATATCGGATTATATCGGAAAAATTACCGGATTTTAACGGATCCGACGGGAACTCGTCGGAAGTTGTCGGCGTCCTAGCCACAGGATTCCGACAGGAGGTTCCGGATGTCGGAATAATCAGGATCCTGCGAAATCCCTGAAACTCCGACACTTTTCGACATCCAGAACCACTTGTCGGAATCCTGTGGTTAGGATTCCGACAAATTCCGGCGAATTTCTATCGGATTCGACAGGGTGAATTCGACCTGGGATATGTTCAACTTTCTGAAAACGCTACTAGAAAATCTTACTCATTTGTTTATCTTCAATTAACTATTATTTTACAATATGAACTTTCAATAAAAATTGAAATCTTCATTAAGCTACAGAATGTATATAAATGACATTCTGAGGATTTCATTAATTCTAAGACGATATGGAATTCTATTGTTCTTGTAGACAATATCAGCAAACTGTTCAAATTTATATAAACTATTTGATCAACATAAGGTGTGGATATGAGTCCGTATCTGGGTACTAGAATGACATATATATATAAGTTAATGTGGATGAGTAAAAGGACTACATTCGCATTGACATGCCACGCCGAAAACTGACCAAAAAAAAGAGAATTATCAAATTGAAAATATGACACGTTATTTATTTATTAAAATAATTGTTTCAATTGAATTCTTTCGGTGTATATTATACTTGTTAATATATAATTCTATAGTAGATGAGAGTAATCATTACGATGAAATCGATGTAGAAAATGAAAATGAACAAATACTAAAAGAAGAACTAATTAAAAAAATATATTTTATAAAAAAATTAATTCATTTATTTAGATTAGTAACAATTTTCTTGTTGATGATGATACTCATTTCTATTCAAATTCATCATCATTTGCTATTAACTTAAATTCTAATGAAATTTCATCAGTAACATCACTCGACTATTTTCAAATAGATCTAGTAGGAAATGAATCAATTTATCAACTTGATTTACTTATTGATCGAATTTGAAAGCATTCTTATGGATTTTAATTTTTTAATATACATGGTGCGTTCAAAAAGTTCCCGGACTGATTTTATTTAAAAATAACAAGAAGCACTGATGCATTAATATGGTTACCTATGTGTAGTCCATACAGTTCTCTATCTATTGACATAATAAGCTCTGCTGAATGAAACGTATATATCAAAATATAGAAACATGTTTTAGACCACCCTCTAGGCACTGACAGAAAATCATAAAAATTGAACATCGTTCAATGATATAATTTCCTGTTCGATGAGACCATGCCTCATCTAATATGTATGAACATGTAGTGGCAGTGTGTGTTGATCGATTCCTCATTGGTCACTACAGCTTCTGGATGATATCATCATTTTGAAAGTGAATTATCGTACATTGATAACAGTTTGAATGTGGATAACATAACTACTAATACTTTTTGGTAGCTTGATGATCGAAAACAATTGAATCATAACTGAGTAAATAGCGGACACTGTTAACATTTTAAACGTATGGTGCAAAGCATTTCGCATGATCAATTACGTGCAACTAAAGTCAGTTCATGAGAAGACCACACTCTCGGACGCGCTATCAATGACGTGTCGACTTTATCAGGAGAAATCATTAATAGTTAATTATTCGTGTTTAAAACAACGAATTCATTCAAATATCATAGTGTATGATAGAGCATCATTACTGTAAACTGTCACCATATATTTATAAATTTTGAATGACAGCTGGTCTTTCAAATCGTATAACTTTGCTCAAGTTTTAAATGTATATCAGTGTCTAGAGTGAGGTCTCAAATATGTTTCTATATTTTCATATATCCGTTTCATTCAGCAGAGCTTATCATGTCTTTAGATAGAGAACTGTATGAACTACACATAAATAGGAATACTAATGCAGCAGCGCTTCTTATTGTTTTTAAATAAAATCAGTCCGGAAACCTTTTGAACGCACCGTGTAATTGATAAAGAAGACTTATGAACAACAATTGATTAACATTTTCAAGGTGAACAACAACAAATCAAAACAAAATGAAAGACAGCTCTATGTTTCGTCGTCATTTTTGACTAGATTATGAAACATATGTAGGCTTGTAGAGGAAGATTCGCTCTATCAAGTTGTGTATGTATTATTAGGTTCTGTTGCGTACCGTTGATATCCAAATACGGAATAGTATCACCTTTGCCATAGGCATGGCGCGGGATACAGCGATTTGACGTACGATATAAAAGTAATGGCACAAAATGTCTATCCATATTTCTATTCAACAAAAGGGTATTGGATAAAAAAAATTTTTTTTAACAAAAAATAGAGCTTCTTCTTCTCTTTCGAATAGTGTAGAACTCATATTTGTCATATATTAGTAGATGAAACGAGACTAGAAACAAGAAAACTATCCACACAATAAATTTACAGGTTTTATATGAATTTTTTAAAAATATTTTGTAAACAACAACTATATACAACTAACTATGGTTTTACAATATGTTTTTAACGAGTTCATAAAAGTCAAAGTAACCATCGTTTGACAAGATCTTTTTAATGAGTCAATAAAGATTGTATTAATTGGCGATTAACAAAATTTTTTTTTTGATGAGCTTATATAAAAATTATAAATTGTTTGAAAGAGAAGAAATTTTCCTATCAATTGATGAGAAAGTATTCGTTTAACAATCAGTTTTTATTAAAGCATTAGAATGAACAACATTGTGCGTTATTTTCCTGAATTTCACGGAAAATGAGAATTCTTTTAGAGGGCATTTCTCTTCTCTGTCGCATAGTTTTGTTCATAAATATGCTATATACAAGTAGAAAGAGGAGAAAAAGTTCTATCATTCGGTAAAGAAAATTTATCTTAACAACTTCCCCTCGAAGAGAAATATAGATAGATATTTTGGGCACCTATTTAAGTGCTAAGTAAAAATATATAAATGTGAAGTTGATTTTTGCTAAGTAAAATTTGTATCTGCTCAGTAAAAAAATTGAATGCTAAGTAAAAATATTAAACTCTCAATTAATTAAAAGTTTATCAGTAAAAAAAATATATTTGCTAAGTTTGATAATTAATAACTAAGTAAAAATTTTTTTTGTTAAGTTAAAAAATCGAAACTATACTAAAAAAGTCAGTCACTAGATAAAAATTATTACTACTAAGTAATTTCGAATAAACACAAAGTACGGTTATCTAAGATAAGAAGAATTATGCAAATCAGAAACAAGCTTTAGAAATGCATCATCATTATTTATGAAGAGCAAAAGAGAACATGATTTTTTACAATACTTCGAAACGAAATGGTTAAAAATTCTTGATTCATAGTATGAATGATACAGTAACTGCTAGACATGAGCGGGACCAGTCATTTTTGGTTCCGGTCCCGGTCCCAGTCCCGGTCAAAAAAAAAGGTTTTTGATCCTATTCTCCCACTTATTAACACATTTGTTGGCGGAAAATTTGATATGATTTTCTAACAGTTTCAATAAGTTCGAGATATCTTACTGGTATACCACAACTAGACATGAGCGAGACCAGTCGTTTTGATCTTGATTTGGGTCAGAAAAAATTTTGATCCCAGTCCCGCCGGAACCGGGACCACTATGCACATGTCTAGTAACTGCACACCAAGTACAAATAATTCATTAGAAGCAACCAATAGGGTCATCAAAGATGAGCACACATTTAGAGAACGACATCCATTATCAAGATGTTTTTACAATTGCAAATGATATCGTCAATAGATGTTCTAAGTCTCGCAATCCGAATCAAATAGAGCCAATCATATTTTCAACAGAACCAACAATTACATTACAAAAATGGACTAATGCATATCATTTTTCAAATTCATCAAAATCAGTATTACAAATATCATCTGAAACAAAAGGTTTCATCGATTACTATATATCAGCTGGTGAGGCAGAAAATGTCACAAAAAATGAAATCCAAAGATACAATAGAAAAAAATGGATGTCATTTGATCAATTTAAATATCTTCAATTTGGAATATGGAAAGTAACTTTGTCCGACATTCAATCAGATGGAAAAATGGATTTTGCAATTGTTCAAACTTTTTTAAAGAATATATTTGCACACATGTGATTGGTATGGCAATTAGATTGAAATTTTGCAAACCACCTACAGCAGCAAAGGATGCATCTTTGGGTGAAAAAAGAAAACGAGGACGGCCACGAAAAGCAACAAAAGCTTTGTTAATCAAATAACTGTTCAATTAAATTTTTTACTTTATACAGTTCTGTATTGTTACTTAACAAAAATTATATGTTTATCGGTCAATTCACAATATTTTGTCTAGAAAATTAAACTTTTTCATTGAGAATTTAATTAAAATACTTAGCAAAAATTATTTTTTTACTTAGATTTATGTTCAATAAATTACTTAGAAAAAATGGAATTTCTTACTTAGCTTTTATTTAAAATTACTTAGCACTTAAATAGGTGCCGATATTTTGTGCCATTACTTATGTATCGCTTGTTAATTGATTTTCTAACTTTTTCTTATAAATTCTATTACTTGTTTATCTAATGAATCCCTTTTTCTTATCGTTTATGTTCAGCATTAGTACTTCGTTTTCCATTGACAATATTAGCATTTGTCAATTAATATTGTTATTGTTTATTATCTTTCGTATAATTTGAAAAAGCTTGTTCGAAAAGTTTAGATGTGAGTCAATTTGATAGCCAATGCATAACTAAACTCATCTATGAATCATCAGCTTTTAATGCTGCATTTTCCACCATTCGGAAAATGTCTAATTTAAGGAGTTCATTTTTCAAAGATGAAAGTCTATAATACGGTAGTTTTATGTGTGTCAAGAGTAGAAATATGAAGAAGATGATGAAAAGTAGAAGTCCGGAAGAGAAGGCATAGTACAAGGAAAGTCTTTGAGTGTCGAACAAATGGATATACAATTTTTGAAAGTACAAGAATGTAGATCTTTCTTTTTTTATTCTACGATCTTTGTCCTGATAAAAATGCGATTTTGCCTAGAAAAAAAAAGATTCAAAACGCATACAGAATACATTAATAGAGAATTCAGTGAAAAAAGTTGTAAAAAAGAATGCGTTCCAATTTTATTGAAACGCTTTGTTTTTTCTTAAGAAAAGAGACATTCGCTTTCTTGAAACGCGTTCTTTTTTACAACTTTTTTTCATTGAGAGAGAGACCGCAAAGGAAAAAACAGAATTCGAAGAATGATAATGTAGTAGTTTCAATCATCTATGTGCAAGATTCATCTTGAACAGTAGCATCATAATAAGTCTTATAATGTCTTGATTTGCATCAAAATTCCTGATTTTGTTTTTGAAATGTGTCCTGTCTGTTTTCCTGATTTTCAAATACAGGCTACTGCGACCCCTGTAATAGTATATACTATAGAAGTTAATAAAATACATATACATATACCATTTAATAGAGGAAATCTTTCTTTACAAACCTACAATTATCTGGTTCTGTACTCGAAACCTTACAGTCGCCTTTTAAAACAAATCTGAATCATTGTTTATATTCATAGTCAAATTTTAATTCTTCTTTTGAATAATATATTCAGAATCGTTCAAAATCTTCTGATAATCTTATTCTTAAACATCTTGATGATCAATATGAACAATTGAATATGACAATATCTTGGTTTCAAAATCAAGTATAACATATTAAACAGCAAAAGATTAAATCTACTTTATGATTCATCTCAAAAGAAACAATTTCTTGGACATAATAGAAAATTATTTTTTTTTTTATTAGTTGAAACTTTTCATTCTAAATATGTTTAGTTTTCAATCGAAAATTATAGAAGGAACATAATACAAGATAATTCTTAATCATCCGTATAATGACGATAATATTCACATATAGTGTCATCAGTTTTTCTTGATTTTTGGGTCTGCTACTATTCAGAGAACTGAGGATCCTTCAGAACTGGGTTTGAATCAAGAAATTCAACTTTTGTCCTGCCTCCATTTAATTCCTTGTCGTTTTTTCATAAT